ACACACACACACACACTTTCCTGCTTTTCTGCTCCATTATCTCACTCAGAAATACACCATTGCGCCCACATTCAGGTTCAAAGTTAACAGAAAACGTGGATTTCTATTTCAGTTTTTTTTCTTCCCTCTGTCGGTCTCTTGTCATTTCTCCTCTCATTGCTCCATCCATCTTTTGGTACCCTCTGCAGATTTGCTGAACCATCCCGTCTCCTGCTTCCCATCATGTCTTTTTTATTTCAGTTTTCGTCTTCCTCTCTCCGCACTCATTTTTCCTCTCATTTATTCTTTTGGCGTCTTCTCTGTCCGCCTACTTAACTTGAGACTACTCCGCCAGTCCACCATCATCCTCCCCTCCCCATTCCACGCTCTTTTTTTTTTATTTCCCCCCCTCGCAAGTTCCCCTTCACTGACTCCCAGCACTCCTTCCTCTCTCCTCCGCTCTGTCACCCCTCTATAAAGACTCCCACTGATGGACCTGAACCTTCTGCCCAAGCCACATTCTGCCCCTCATTCTTTTCTCCTGCACTCCATGCGAAGAGGAGACCAATTAAAGTCCGTCTCCTCTTTCTTCCACTCTGTTGTTCTCCTGACTGTGTGTCTGCCCTCAGACTCTCTGGGGTCGCTAATTAAAACACTTTACTTTCTTTAGTCTTTATTCCACTTTTTTCACCTGTTCATCCCGTTTCCTCTACTTTTTGGCTTTCTTATTCATTTTCTTGTTCCACCTCTCTGCTCTAACATGTCTCAACAGCTCTCTTTTCATCAGTCTCCTTCTGTCTTCATCTGAGCCCCGTCTCATGTCACTCCATCACTCACATTGCTTCCTTCCATTTGTCACACATTTCTGTCCTCATTTAGCGTCTCCTGCTTTGTCTTTTCATGCCCTTGTGATTCATACAAAGTCATGATTTCTTCATGTTAAATTTACCTCTCTCACTCTGTCCTACATCTACTCCCCTCAATCTTATCCATATTAGTTTGTACATGGGTAACTCTTTGTTCTGTAGCAGACAGAAAGTCATGATCCGCAGTCTAAAGGAGCATGCATTATGCAGCTCTTCTGTTCTAATGATGCTGTCTTGTCCAGAGTTGTTGTTATGCTTAAAGCCAGTCAACCTTGACTGAAGTCGTGGTTGTGCATGCACATACACATTAGTTTGCACACGCCTGTGTATATCTGTAGTGTGTAGTGAGAGAGCGGAAAGCAGAGGGTGCCAAGTTTATTTTACACCAAGTTCCCCTCAATGGTCTTAATTAGCATATGAGGAATTGTTGTATTGCATCTGCCGCTTAACACTGCTCCCTTGCTGGTATGGAAGTACAATGGAGTTGTATCATTGTGATATATCAAATCCTAAAACATTATTTTAAGACCTGCAGAACTTTGTTTTATCACCCTCTGTAATCGTTATGTGTAATATTGATGAACTATCCATCTGCTGTAACTATCTACATTCCTCCAGGCACAAAGGAATTATGGAATATCTGTCATCCGTCTTCTTTCTCTCTGTCTGTGCTTAATCACCACCTCTCTTTCCCCTTCAGTCATGTATTACTCTTGTGTAATCATTACGTGAAATATTAATGTCATTGTCATTCTTCCTTCCAGGTTAACAGCAGGAGATCTGTCCATCCAGGTGAACCTGAATGACTACCTGGACATTTACTGCCCACACTACCCCAACAAGGGAACACTGGACCCCGGGCAGCCAGAGTCACTGGCCCTCTACCTGGTGGGAGAGGCTACTTTCCAGGGCTGCGTGGAGACTAGAGGGGCCATCAAGAGGTGGGAGTGTAACACCCCCTACGCTCCCTTCGGACCAGTGCGCTTCTCTGAAAAGATCCAAAGGTTCACCCCCTTCTCGCTGGGGTTTGAGTTTCTGCCAGGGCGCCACTACTACTACAGCTGTGAGTAGAAGGATGTTTGTTTCTCTGTTTGTGTGAGGGGCATCATTTAGACTGGGTATTCAGAGATTCAAGTATGGCTGGGAATTATTTGAAATTGTTGTGAAATTGATACCGGTACCAAAATAAAACTTGACTTTTGGTGCCAATTCACAATATCACAAAATATTCTAAACTTCTAAATTAATCAGTTTTTTAAATGTTTAAACAAGCAGCTAAACAAACGCTCATAGTTTCAGGAAATATGTTACTACTGAACTACTTTTTGTACAGTCTTTGATACTTGCATTGGAGGTTTTGTTGGTTAGGGCTGCAAATAATTTTGACTATGGATTAATCTATAGACTATTTTCTGAAAGAATCAATTAATTTGTCTATGAAATACCAAAACAAAGGCAAACATGTCCATCACAGTTTCCTAAAGCCAAAGATGGCACTTTCAAATTGTGTGTTTTGTCCAACCAGTGGTCAAATAAAGACATATTTTCGGTTTACCATCAGATAAGGCAAAGAAAAGCAGCATTTTCTTACATTTAAGAAGCTGGAATGAGGTGATGTTTGACATTTTTGCTAGAAAAATGACTTCAAGCCCTAAAAAATCTGTAACATTAAATTCTAATGGCTGAAAATGGCTAAAAATGGGTAACATCCTAACTCGAGGAGTTAAACAGTAAAGACTAAGATATGTTTCATTGGGACTTCTTATTAATAATCATTATTAATCGATTATCAAAGTAGCAGAATCAATTGTCTGCTGACTGTAGAGACACTCTGGTACTGGTGGACAGTGTGTGTCAGTACATGGCTAAGAAGTATGTGTATTTAATATGTAAAGTGCATTGTCCCCGATTTCTTTGTGAGAAACTTCTATTTTAGGGAACCCACAAATATTCGCTTCAGGCTCCATACACTAGAAGCCAAGTAAAACAGCCCAAAATGAGAAAAGATGTAAATATTTGATGTTTCAGTTCATCAGACTGTGCAGACACACCTGTGCTGGAGGAAGAGTGCTGGCCCCCTTTTTAAGGGATGAAAAGGTTGAGAACAGCTTTAGCCAATGTGTTTTTTATGAGGCTTTGAGTGTTGGCAAACTGAAGCTTATAGCCTTAATGTTTTCCATAAATTCATGCAGACTGACATTAATTTGATGTTTTCTTAAACCTGTAGGCTGTTACACAATTTTAGTGATGGTTTCTTCTTTCCCCATTACACTCCCCTGTGCTGCTCTCCCCTCACTCATTTATTTCAGACCACTGGAGGGAGAAAAGGGAGGGAGAGAGACAGAAGATGGCTTAGGCTGTAAAATCAGTTGACTATTTTTTTTTTTCTCACTTTTTACAACTTCTGGTGTCAGTCCAACCAAGAGGGGGAGGACATGAAACAAGGCAGAGAATGAAAGAGTCAAGTGAATGCATGGTATGGAAGGGTGACAACAAAGAGACAGAGGGACCGCAAAGTGTAGGAGGAAGAAATGGAGATCAATACGAGACGACAGTGAGGGAGAGGGAAAACAGGCAGGCAGAGAAGCAGACGGAGGTAGAGAAGCGTGGAAGAGTGACAGAGGGAGAGAAAGAGCAAAAGATGGACATAGTCTGACAGTACAGGGAGAAAGAGGGGAGGAGAGGGGGGGAGAAAGGGACGAGAGAGGCCGGATGAGAGGAATCCACACTTGAGAAAGAAAAGGGAGAGCAACAAAAGCAACGGAGAAAAGGGATGGATGAGACGAAGGGAAAGAAAGAATCTTTACATAAATTACTGTTGCGGTCTGAGGGACAATGGAGCATTGTGAGGGCATGAGAGAGTGGTTCCACACACACGCTAACACACACATGTATGTATGTACACGCACACACACTGGGCTATTGTGGTTGTTCAGGCCAGTTCAGAGAAAAGCAACAATGGGTGCCCCCCCCCCCCGCTTGGACCACATCGGGCTCAGAGCGATTGTGTGTGTTTTGTCCACATCAAAGATAAGGCGTAAAGTTGGTCCAAATGTCTGGCTCTGGGGTTTGTGTGCTGAATGGGCCCGCAGCACTGGAGACACTATAATGGCATTAACCCGGGAGAACAGTACAATAGTATTAGAAACACTAATGGCATTAGTTGGCTCAGTCTGAGCTGTGCTCAGCTCTTCTCTGTGGCTCCCACAGACTATGATACTGACAACCCACTGTCTCTGGATGTGTGGCTCTGCTGATCGACACCCACTGGTTCTCCAGACACAAGAAAACACCTTGACATTGTCACTGCATCCTCAGCATCTTCACCCACTCTGACAACATGTGTTGCACTTTTAAGAAGAACATGCTCCAAATAAATTAAACACAAGCAAATTAAGAACATATTTACCAGTTTGACAACACACATGCAGCATATAGAAACATACTGCAATTAACAAGACAAAGGTTTATCTGGGACACAAAAAACTGAACTGGTCAAATACAAATGCCAGGAGTATATAAGACTTGTGCAATCATGTTAAAACTGAAATAAATATTGAGCTTGGAAATGCAGGTTGATAAAACAAAAAAATCTTCCCCTCAAGAATTGTTTTAAGACTTAAATTTAAAATACTCTGCCTAATTATTATTTCTAATATGGTCTTTCAACAAAAACAAAAGTTCTACCACTTCTCTCACATTAAACCCAGTGTCTATGAATATGCATATTGTTCATTTAAAGGTTTTAACTACTGGGGCCAAGATGTCTACCTACCTTACTCAACGTTTCCACATCACACTTGAGTGACTTCCATACTGGATCACAATTAGCCTCAGAAGTAGTTTTGATGTGTACACGTCCGAAAACTCAGGTTGAAGTTGAGCTCAGAGAAACTTTCCCTCTTTTAGCAGAATGTGAAAACAGACTGTTAGTGTCAAACTCAGCTTATACATCATTGTGCACAGCGAAGCTCAAACATCCAACTCATTCTTGAACCGAGGGGGAATTTAAGTTGAGGTACAAAGGTCGAAGCTCCAGGAACAAACACCATTAGCTCATCTTCAAACATCACCAACGAGTGGCTTCAGCAAACCGCACATGGAGGCATGTTTATCAGTTTTTTTAGTTCCTCGGAAAAGCCGTATTTGCTAGTATTTTCTGTATTTTGGTGAAAGTGCTTCTCAGAATGTTTGTGTTTCATTCATTTGCAGCATTTTTTTCTTAATCTGACATGTGTTGTCGCAATGTTGAAGATGTTTTCCTTGTTTTTTTTTCTCTGAGTGATTTGAGCTCAGCCACCGTTGATAGTGCCTTATAACCACTGTTATTCCGTGCTGTATCTTATCAGTTGAAATTATAGATACAAAGTGAGACAGACTGTTAGCGATCACACACTCAGCTTGTGTGGTGGATCCCTGTTGAGTTAGCAGCTGTTTGTGAATAATTCAAATATAAAGCCATTTAACTGCAGTTTCCAGGCAGGTTTGTTTTGCCAAAGCAATGCTAAGCTGACAGGTAATACAGCTGATATTTGTCTGTTTTCCCCTGTGAGCCGTATTGATATCGCAGCAGTTTGCATTCTTTTATGGCTGCGCTCTCAATTGTATATTTTATTGTTTTTTATTAAGTCGAGCAGATAAGTGTGAAATATGTTAGTCAGCATGACACAGGGAGATGGTGTAATTCTTTCTGCTGATATCATGCATTGTATGAGGTATTGATACGGTAGAAACGGGAAAAACAACCTTGCGGTTTAGCTTTTCTTGTCACAAGAATTCTTCAAAAGTACCAAGAGAGTCCTCAAAAAGTAGATTTGATGGAAAGATTTCAGTCAGCGTAGCGCCCCTTTATGAACTGTTTGTCGGGTTTAATAGATACGCAGCATGTTTAACTCTTTCTGTCTTCTCTGTTCTTCCCAGCCCTACCATCAGATGAAGGGCCTCCTCTGCCATGTATGAAGTTGCGTGTCACAGTGTGCTGCGAGCCCAGTGAGTACACTCCTCTTTTCATCTGTTCTTCCTTTCATGCTTCTCCTTTGTACACCAAGAGACTCCTCTCTCTCTGCCTCTCTCATCGGGCTGTATAGCATGATGTTTAGACTTGCTACTCATCCCTACTAGTACTACTACCTCTCTCTTTTTGAATAACTCTCCACTTTTATCAATGGGACTAAATGTGTCTTTACCCCTCGTGATCCTGCATTATCTTTAACCTTGTAAGATGAGACTTACTCCTTTTTTTTTAATTTATTTATTTTTAACTACATGAACCTCCACTCTCCTCTCCACTCCACGTTGGCTTTTAAACCTAATTGGATTGAGGGTTTTTTTAAGCATTAGTTCTCTCTAAAGTACATCTCTCCTCTTCCTCCACCCCTCCCCTTAATTCTCTCTTCCTTTTTTTTCTACCTCCTTGTCTCCCTCATTCTCCCACTCTCCATCTCTGTCCCAGTGTGAAATTCCCAGCGTTGATCTAATCCAGAGTGCGCCTGGAGTAATGTTAGTCTTCCAGTCCAGTGAGCTGCCCATTCCGGTTGGGAATGTTGCCCAGTCACTGTGGGAATCCCTGTACAGTTGTTGGCGTGTGTGTGTGTGTGTGTGTGTGTTTGTGTGTGTGTGTGAGCATTTCTACGTGTATGACCATTTTTCTGTGCCTGTGCACTTTGTGTTTTTGTGCACTCCTGCATGGGTCTATGGGCCTTTGCGTGTGCTCTCTGGCGGTTTAATTTGCGCAAGTATATGTGTGTGTGTGCCCTCATATGCGTGTCTGAGACGTCTGTCCCAGTTCCCATCCCAGTGCTATCTGCAGGGGGGCTTGTCGTGCTGTCCCAGGCTGTACTAACACAGGAAAACTGGTCGCAAAGGTTGTGTGTCTCTGTGTGTGAGACCCATTCAGTAAAATTCCTACACCGTCGTCTAACAAATGCCTCCCTACCACGCCGGCATGATTAAATTTGTGGTGTAAAGGGGGGGAAACAAAAAATTAAAAACCGGAATAAAAAAGAACCCCATCCGTCTCGAATGAATTCTTAAATGCCATCACTGTTCCGGCGTGAGACGGGTAGTAATTTGCTGCGTTATTACCAGAGTGAAGGCTGATGGCTTTTTTTATATGTTAATTATCCTGCTGTCATTAATTAGAAAGACCACAGATTGTTGTTCAGTGAGAAAATGCTAATGTAATCTTGACCTTCTGGCAGTATTCCCTGATCAGCCTATCCGAGCCGGAAATAATCAAAATATTTGAAATCACCTGGATTGTGCAGGCTGTGAGACACGCACACGCATGCACGCACGCACACACACACACACACACACACACACACACACACACACACACACACATTGTGATTTAGTTGTTTGCTGTG